AGCCAGGACCCTTTTTCCAGGGATTCGGGGATTTTTGGGATGAATCCATTGACCAGGACCATTTTTCCGGGAATTTTGGGATTTTTGGCCAAGAATTTTGGGATTTTTGGGATGAATCCATGAGCCAGGACCCTTTTTCCAGGGATTCGGGGATTTTTGGGATGAATCCATTGACCAGGACCATTTTTCCGGGAATTTTGGGATTTTTGGCCAAGAATTTTGGGATTTTTGGGATGAATCCATGAGCCAGGACCCTTTTTCCAGGGATTCGGGGATTTTTGGGATGAATCCATTGACCAGGACCATTTTTCCGGGAATTTTGGGATTTTTGGCCAAGAATTTTGGGATTTTTGGGATGAATCCATGAGCCAGGACCCTTTTTCCAGGGATTCGGGGATTTTTGGGATGAATCCATTGACCAGGACCATTTTTCCGGGAATTTTGGGATTTTTGGGATGAATCCATGAGCCAGGACCCTTTTTCCAGGGATTTTTGAAATTTTGGGATGAATCCATGGGCCAGAACCCATTTTTGGGGGATTTCGGGAGTTTTGGCCGGGAATTTTGGGATTTTTGGGATGACTCCATTGGCCAGGACCATTTTTCCGGGAATTTGGGGAATTTTGGCCAGGAATTTTGGGATTTTTGGGATGAATCCACGAGCCAGAACCCTTTTTCCAGGGATTTTTGAAATTTTGGGATGAATCCATTGGTCAGGACCATTTTTCCTGGGATTCGGGGAACTTTGGGATGAATCCATGAGCCCTTTTCCAGGCTCTGAGGAATTTTGGGAATTCCATCCCAGAATCCCACGGGATTCGGGCCCAGCTCCACCTGAGGGATTTCACACCCATCCCCACAGAAAACTGCTGGAATTCCTCAGAATTCCTTGGAATTCCATCCCAGCCAGGGTGGAGAATTCCCCTCCCCCCACAAAAAAAAATCCCCAAAAATTTTTTTCCCGGTTTTCCAGAGGCTGGGAAAAAAACCACCGAGCATTCCCATAAAACCCCCGGGGGAGGAAAAGCGGGAAGGGAGGAATTCGGGGAGGGGGATTTGGGATTCCCGGGAATTCCGGCTGATCCCGAGGATTCCCGCAGATCCAACCGGGATTGCCAGATCGACCAACACCACCGGAACCAGTGCCAGTACTGCCGCCTCAAGAAGTGCTTCCGAGTGGGAATGAGGAAGGAAGGTACGGAAAAAATTCCCAAAGAATCCCCAGGAATCGCGGGAATTCCGGGTTTTGGCGAAAAAACCCCGTTTTCCCCCCGTTTTTTGGGGATTTTTTTGGGGTTTTCCCTCCTTTTCTGAGCCCGCCCGGAGTCGGGATTGGGGCTGGGGGTGGGGCGGATTCCCGGATCCGTGGGAATCCCAAATGTTCCCAAAAATTCCGCTCCCTGCTCCGTGTCCATCGCCCCTGGGATGTGAATCCCAAATGCTTCCCGGGAGGGGGGGTTTGTCCCGAAAATCCGGGGTTTGTCCCAAAAAATCCAGGGTTTGTCCCAAAAATCCGGGGTTTGTCCCAAAAAATCCGGGGTTTGTCCCAAAAAATCCAGGGTTTGTCCCAAAAATCCTGGGTTTATCCCAAAAAATCCAGGGTTTGTCCCAAAAATCTGGGGTTTGTCCCAAAAATCCTGGGTTTGTCCCAAAAATCCTGGGTTTGTCCCAAAAATCCTGGGTTTATCCCAAAAAATCCTGGGTTTTTCCTAAAAATCTGGGGTTTATCCCAAAAATCTGGGGTTTATCCTTAAAATCTGGGGTTTATCCTAAAAATCCTGGGTTTTTCCTAAAAATCTGGGGTTTATCCCAAAAATCCTGGGTTTGTCCCAAAAACCCCAGATTGATCCAAAATTCCCGGGTTTTGACGATGGGGATGAAAATCCAGCGGGATTTTTTTTGGGATTGGGATGAAAATCCAGCGGGATTTTTTGAATATGGGGATGAAAATCCATCGGGATTTTTTGAGGATCGGGATGAAAATCCAGCGGGATTTTTTGGGGATCAGGATGAAAATCCATTGGGATTTTTTGGGATTGGGATGAAAATCCAGTAAGGTTCTTCGGGATGGAGATGAAAATCCATTGGGATTTTTTGAATATGGGGATGAAAATCCATTGGGATTTTTTAAGGATCAGGATGAAAATCCATCGGGATTTTTTGAGGATCGGGATGAAGATCCATCGGGATTTTTTGAGGATCAGGATGAAAATCCAGCGGGATTTTTTGGGGATCAGGATGAAAATCCATTGGGATTTTTTGAATATGGGGATGAAAATCCATTGGGATTTCTTGAAGATCGGGATGAAAATCCATTGGGATTTTTTGGGATTGGGATGAAAATCCAGCGGGATTTTTTGAATGTGGGGATGAAAATCCATTGGGATTTCTTGAAGATCGGGATGAAAATCCATTGGGATTTTTTGGGATCAGGATGAAAATCCAGCGGGATTTTTTGAATGTGGGGATGAAAATCCATTGGGATTTCTTGAAGATCGGGATGAAAATCCATTGGGATTTTTTGGGATCAGGATGAAAATCCAGCGGGATTTTTTGAATGTGGGGATGAAAATCCATTGGGATTTCTTGAAGATCGGGATGAAAATCCATTGGGATTTTTTGGGATCAGGATGAAAATCCAGCGGGATTTTTTGAATGTGGGGATGAAAATCCATTGGGATTTCTTGAAGATCGGGATGAAAATCCATTGGGATTTTTTGGGATCAGGATGAAAATCCAGCGGGATTTTTTGAATGTGGGGATGAAAATCCATTGGGATTTCTTGAAGATCGGGATGAAAATCCATTGGGATTTTTTGGGATCAGGATGAAAATCCAGCGGG